TTTCCTTGACATGTTTGTGATACCTTCAGAATAAAGGCAATGTTTAAGGAAGTTAAAGAAAGACTCTCAGTAGTCGTTTCCTTTTTGGTAACAAACATCTAACAAAGTGATCACACTGAAAACCTTCACAGCTTTTGCTCCTCAGTTGGAATCATTCCATGGTATCCAGTAACAAGATGAAGCAAAATAATGTTATGCATTACTTGGATGTACCTCCAGTTTTGTAAATCACTGCAGCTTACTGTCACTATTACATGAAGGAATTTAAACACTGTTATTGTGAAGAACATAAGACACAATATGGCCTTATAGCACATGTGCTTAGTTTTTATGGACGTGACATGAACTGCAGACCCTGGGATACAAGTACGCATGTACGCATGTGTGGAATGGGACCCATTCCACACATGCAGACTAGAAAACACGATGGCACCTCCTAGAATAATTTGAAAAAAGCTTTGTTTGTTGTATTTGCTGAACAAGAAAAAGTCACATAACACAAAACAGGACATTCCTCAAAGCCTGTGTCCATATTACTTGTCTGTGCGCTGACAGTGTGTGCAGACCCTTACAGGCACATGTATGTGGAATGGGTGAATTGTCCTTAAATGTTAAAAAAGTGCCATGAAGACATCAACTGATACATGGAACACATGGAGGAATATCAGTCACACACTGTTTTCTCTAATGTCTTTACAATACCTCTACTCATTACTGTTAACAATAGGGGGCTTAGAAGAAGGAAGTCATGACTGCACCCAGTCTTGATCACATAAAGCCAAAACCAGATGGGTTTGGGGGATTATAGGAGCTCTATCTGAGATCACACTAAATTCCTGTTTTCTCTCCACTTCCTGAGAGGAGACGCAGGGAATTTGGTTTCAGCTGTGAGACCAAAAGCCTCCACAGAGGGCTGTGGAGGAATCTAAGGTTTTGTTTGTGTATATAAAATTTGATCCTGTTTATAACTTGAAAAGACTAAAGGGTTTAACATGAGGATGAACATAAAAGCTGGTAGTGAGCTCCAGTGGGAGATAAATGGCCAGTTAAGTCACGGCTCCCGATGTTCTCTGAGTCAATGAGAAAACACATGATGTGACAGAGGTCTGTTTAGAGTGGTAATGTGCCGCAGACTTGTACTCCCCAAAGCCCTCATGCCTTGATTTAGTTTGTCTAGTGTGTCTGCACAGCCCTGACCGCTACAATGGCAAACACAGGGAGGTTTGTTTAGGAGCCCCTCTGTTACGTTTCAGGGTTACTCTGTGGTCTTGGTTTGTGAGGAGGCAGCCTGTCACCAACATGTCTGCTCTGTGTGGCCTCCAGGCTGGTTGCTGTCGCTTGAAAAACACAGGTCCGCTCTGCTCCAGTGAGATTAATCCTGAGGGGTTTGTACTTCTCACCGTCTGCCTGTCAGGAGCCGTGCACAGAGTGACGAAGCATGTTGTGACGGCTGTCCCCATGCTATCAGCTGGATGAATGGATGGCTGTTTAATCTGCACCAGAAAAGAGGACAGGGAAGAGAGGGGCAAATAGAGGGGAGAGGGATCTAGGGTACAACGCAGTGGTTCGGTTGACTGGTGGGTGCATTTCACATAATGGGGGGCGGGTTCCTACAAGCTAACATGATATACTGTAATAATATGTGTACTCTTGTGTGACAGTAAATTCGAGGTGATTTAAACATGATCCTCTCTGCAGCAGAGCAGCTGTAGAGCCTCCTCTGCTGTTGTGGTATGATTGGACAGAAGAAGGCAATAAAATTTTAATGAGATGATCTTATTATACTGTATGCTGTCCAGTTTTAAGCTGCTCCTCCGTGACATCTCAACACTGAAACAGCTGTTTATCAGCCTCTCAGCCTGGATGATAATTGGCTAGGGTGTGTGAACAGTGGTCAGAGACCTGTAGTAGCTAAATATTTGTGTGAAACTTGTTTTGAAAGAGGCTGGCTGTTAGTGAGGTGCAAGCTCCTGAGTGTAAGGACGTATACAGTTTTTTCTTTTGGCTTCTTCTAACAGTTATGTTTATTTATTAGTGGCTACATTAGGGTTGCAGATAATGGTGCTCACTGATTAAGGTCTTGGTTAATTTTACAACTGACCTATTAATCACTTAATCTATGAAATGTTAGTCTGATCACACCCCAAAACCTCAAAATATTACTATGTAGTGGTATTTAATCTCATAAAATCATATATAGTACAAGAGCAAATTCTCACGAGGAGCTGGTTTACTTAATAAATTAAACACTGAGTCAATTTTCAGTATTGTTTTTTGTTGTTCATCTGATGTATTAATCCACAAATGCATACTATTTACATGCTGACATTAGCTAATTTAAGGCCATGCTGCTGGCATGCTAACCTGCTAACCTGTTAACATGCCCTAAGAACTGTAATTGATGGCATACAGAGACACTTTTTTAACTTTTCTTTAATGAGAAATTAAATGGTGATAAAAATAAAACATAATAAAGTTTTACATTTCAAGTGTTCTCTTTTTCTTATCAACAAAGTGCCATATTTGTACTTCTCCAAATACACCCTGGACAGGTCACCAGTCTAATCACATGGCTGACATAGACAAACAACCACACACACTCGCACTCAATCCTACGGACAATTCAGAGTCACCAATCAACCTAAGCTGCATGTCTTTGGACTGTGAGGAAGCCAGAGCACCCGGAGAGATCCCACGCAGGCACAGGGAGAACATGCAAACTCTACACAGAATGGCCCCGGTTTGGCCGGGACTCCAACCCAGAACCTTCTTGCTGCAAGGCGACAGTGCTAGCCACCGAGCACTGTGCCTCCCCAGTTGATGCATATCTACTGCAAATGCACCGAACACTGGCAGTTATATCAAAATAAAAGTCATTAATAATGCTAATACAAGTGATTTATTGCAGGAGCTACCCCGGATGATTTGCATCTGGTTTTACTCGGTAATCAACTGCTGCAAAAACATGACACAACAAAAGTAGCTAATTTAATCTGTTTATCTGGTATGACTGCAAGGTTAGCTCTGGGGCTAACCACTTTGGAATAATGTGGGAACACACCTTGAAGTTGGTTTAAAGGGTGTCTTCCCTGTTCATCCTATCCTGCTAACATTGCATCAGTTCTGCATATGTGATGCTTTTCTGTTTTTGCTTTTTGTTTTTTTATCACACAAAACTAAATGTCTAGATGTTGTCATTATTTTCATCTCTTGTAGAAAGCCCTCACTTGTCAGAGGTACTGTTTTTCACTGCAGGTGGATGGAGCCAACCAGGATCTGTGTTGCATATCAGCTGCACCTTAATGTTTGACTCACTCTAGAGAGTGGAGCGGTATTATCAGTGAGGCTAAATGCATGAATGTGCGGTTGTGGGAGCTTTTCTGTGAGCTGGGACTGAATTATCCTGACAGTCTGTGACCATAGGCTCTTTTCGCCTGTCTGCCTCTCTGTGTGTCAGACACAGAGCCTGAGCTGGACGGGGCCTCTGGCTGTCCTCTGTCCTGAGCTGGGCGCCTGTCGCGTCTCGTCTTCCCTCACGGTGGCAGGCAGCGCTCTCTATACTTCTCCCTCCATAGCGTGACATGATTCCTCTGTGATGGTCATGAGCACTGTAAATGATTTCACACATGAGATGCTGACTAGGCTCTCATCGATTGACCCTGTTTTACAGAGCATTGTGGCTTGTTTATTGCTCTCCAGCTCCCTGCTGACACAGTGACCATAATGGAGGAGAAATACTGCTATCCCGTCATGCATTAACCCCCCAGACGGGGTGTAATGCACATGCACTCCTGTACTGCCACATGTCGTTGTGCCTCTGGAAGCTGGGTCAGGTGACACTGCAGCCAACCAAATTAAAGCCCCAGGATCCAAATGCTTACTGTTTGCACACTATTGTCCCTTAATTAGTTTAAGCATAATTTAGGCAGGGTCCCTTTTTGTGGGAGGTCAGATCAGATCAAGGTTCAGGTCTTGTGACATTTCCATGCATCTTTGTTGTCTGTAGTCTCAGTAGATTAATGTGAAGAGTCATAACATTTCTGATATCCCAAGATATCACAGCCACCTTTTCTGTTTTTTATAAATGCACTTTGTGTGTCTATATGTGTCTGCTGTGCAGCTGCAAGCTCAGATTCTGTGTAACAGTTCTCCCCTAGTGGCTGCTGCCTCCATTATTTACAAGTGTGCACATTTCATGATGACATCAAGGTAGGGACGTTGGGAGAAGGCTGTCCTAATGAGCCGTGGCATTCGCTCATTGCCCCTAAAACAGGCCAGTGAGGGCTCCTCTGTGGCCTGTAGTAAAATAAGAATTTGGTGATAAATTACTGTAGGAGAAACACAAGTAAAAGAACAGAAACCTGTTTCACTTTGGCACTAGCAGATCAGCAAATTGTCTGTTTTTGCTGAGGATGAGCCTCAAGCATGAAGGCAAGGTTGCTTTAGTCTCAGAAGCCTGTTGAAACTAGCACACTGTTGTCTGCAGAAGGGCAAACAATTAATCATTCTGAACTGTGAAAGAAACAGTAAAAGTATCTGGCAAGTGGAGCTCACGATCATCCCTTTATGTATTATAGATAAACAGATCAGACTCCAGTTTCTAGTTTTGTTTGCTGTAGTAATAAAAGTCTGCGCAGACATGTCCTCAGAGGGGAAGAAGATGAAAGAGTCAATACCCAATAAAGCCAGTGGCTCAGTCTCATTGTGCATTCTGTGTGTGTGTGTGTGTGTGGTGTTGTTGTGCGCCATGCAGTGAGTTGAATCAGAGAACTTCCAAGATTGAGTGTGTTTGAAGAGACAGAATTAAACTTAAACAGCATTGCTCTTACACTGTCAAAGAAGAGCCTTTTAGCTCTAGTTGCCCTCAGCCAGGGTCAGAGTTGGTAAATGGGATTTCAACATGGCTGGTTGTACTTTTACATTTCATTTAGATAACCGCAGTTTTTTTGCTTCTCAGATTGTTTCAATATTAACTAAACATTTATGCTGTTTTGTTGCAGTGAGGGTGTCTTCAAGTGTCCAGAGGACCAGCTGCCGCTGGACTATGCCAAGGTAAGATAACACTCTTGGCAGACTTATTCTCTCCTCATCAGGAACTGATCGCTAAAGGGAAGAGAGAATATGTAGCTTGAGAATACAGATCATGTTCTTCTTAAATATGATAACAGTTATTTACAGTACAGTATATAGCACTTTTCTAAACAGGCATGCTAGCAGTTTGATGAGGCTGTAATTTCCAATGCTTTGAGCTTAAGGCTAGCATTAGCATCAACATGCTCACAAAGACAAAACTAACATTTTGATGTTAGCAGGTATAATGTTAACCATAATCACCATCTTTTTTTTTAAATATTTTAGGAGTTTAGTTCCGTAGAACACGTTGGTACAACTGAAGCTAATAGGACAAATTTATCTGATTCATCCTGGGGGGACATGAATCTCTGTACCCAATTTTATATCAGATATTAAAGTTGAGATATTTAGCTGAAAATCACCTTGCACTAGAGGAAATGTTCACCAAAGTCTGTGGTATTAATCCGTAGGAAACCAAGAGTTTCTTTAAAAAATCATGGAAATCCATCCAATAGTAGTTAAGATACATCTCTGTCCAGACCAATGTGCTGAACCAACAGACAGACTGACATGGCCATAGAGCCTTGAGCTGATAATGCTTAAATATTTAAGAAATGCTTAGATACAGGTATAAAAAGAAAAGCAATTTTAGGGTGGTGACTGATGTCAATTTGTTAGAGGAAAACACTGTGTCAGTGAATCTAACACAGGAGAAATAATCTTCATCTTAATCCAAGGTCACATGTGACATTTCAGTTCATTATAGTGGGAAAGACTGAAAAAAATATGGAGGATAATTTATTGAAACTCAGTTTTTCTCCACCAACTCTATCAGCCTGTTGAAAGAAAACTATATAAATTTTAATAGAACTGTGTTCTCTTAGTTTTAGTTATACTTTAGCTAATCTTGTTGAATCCAATTGTATTTGTGGAGGGAAAGATAAGGACTATCTGTAGTCGGAGTCAGACGCTGGCTCTCACATGCGAGTTTCCTGTTGTAAAGTAAGACACTGCAACACAAGGATAAGAGCTTAATTCTGATCTCTGCATGAGAGACTTGAAAGCCTATCAAAGAACCAACAGACAATGAATGATCATCTCGTTTACTCAGCTGCTTTTGGCATTGATTGAAAGCAGTCTGCTGCATGTAATTCTCCCATGCACTTCATTAGCATTAGGCTGAACTAGCTGTTGAGCAGTTCACCCAGAGCTGCAGCAGGATCAGCAGGGGTGCGAGTGGCGAAGGCGCCTGTAATAGCAGGGACTCTGCACAGGAAGGATGTGCTCATGGCACACCTGTCAAATGTTGTTATTTACCGCAGCCCTCACAGGCTCCCAGTCACCTGCAAATTACCCCTCATTGGTGGTCTCCTGTCAGGGTTTTTGTAATGCTCGCTGCACACTGTTCTCCGAAAATGTGCAAAACATACTCTCCAACCAAATAAGATTGTTGCAGTCATTAAAGGTTTTTGCTGCTGCTGTAGTAGTAATAACAGTGTGGGACTAACAATGGCTAAAGCAGGCAGAATAAACCCCCAAGTCAGAGCTTCAAAGAGCTTAACCCCCTGATCTGGCTGGGACTAAGTTATTAAAAGGTCATTATTGCCATCTCCCTGCAGATTTTAAGACTGGAACAATGAGTGTTTCAGTTAGCTTTTTTCTTTTTTGCTTCTCCTCAAAGAATGTGCTTATGGCAGTGGAATATCGAGTGCAGCAAATCAGGCTTTTATTGTGCAGGTTTAATGTTGGCTACATCTGTGTTTCTGCATATTTTTCACATTGAGGTTAGACTTTAATACATATATTTAATCTGAGAAACATTTGTTTCCTAACACAGCACCTAGAAACAATAATAAGTGGAAGTGTTTTATTGTAGCTGATTCTCTAAATGAACATTTAATTTGACAGTGGTGGCTCCAGTGTTTTGGTGCAGAGGTGTGTGAGCAGTCAGGCTGTTACTGAACGACTATTTGTTTAGAGGGCTGTTGCGACATTTTGAGGAAGTTGCTTTTCTTGTTTGACCAGTGTCGAGCTAGTGTGACAGCGATGGGGGATGGAGATGCAGAGCTGTAAATCCTCAGGACACCGTACTGTTGCTGAGGATTTGGGGTGTTTGGGCAGAAACCAGACTCGTGCCAATTTCTCAGTGGCCGAGAACATTAAAGGTTTCCTCTCTCTCTCTCTCTCTCTCTCTCTCTCAAAGGTCCATAAAACCCATAAGCAAGCTCAGTATCACTGCAGTGGCTGGTTTGACTCACTTTACTGCAGTTTTCTAACACAGTCTCAACAGATTGACACTAAAGTGCATGTTTGTATGAATGAGGGTTTCATCCTGTGGCTGAACATTCACCCTGGTGTGATATGATGTAAAAAATATTACTGTCATATCATCATAAAAACATTTAAAGAAGTAGTTCAGCATACTCTTATTTACCTTTGTTTATTAAATACTGGGATCAGCTTTATGTGTTAAATACAGAGCTGGAGTGAAAGAGGACGTGTTTAGCCTAACTTAGCATGATGACCTTAAGCAGGGGGAAGCAGCTAGCCTAGTTCTGTCTGCACTTTTAAATATTTACCCTCCAACTAGGCTGTGTACACGATACAGTATAGCTTATGGTTTTGACTGGTACATCAACAGAAATAAAACATTGACTGTTGTTTCTTAACACAAGTCCATCTAGGCGCTATTTTCTACATCTTCTTCACAGTTTTCAGTCACTTTAATGTTCAGACTGACAGAGTGATGCTGGGTACATGGGTGTTGGTGGTCTGCAGGGCTAACATGCAACAGCTGACCTCCTCCCAACCAGACACTGGTCTGAAACTGCCTGTCTTCACTGAACTCAGGGATGTAAACTAGATTCATTCAGACTTTGTTTCTGTTACTCCCCAAAGAGAGACAGAAAGACATTTCAAAATAAATAGTCTAAAAATAATAATAATAATAATAATACCTTTAAAAGAGTGACATAAAAAACCAACCATGCATTTTTAAACCCATTCATTTTCACATGCCTTCCTGGGTGTGGGATTAAAATAAGAGGTAGGCCTGCAACTAATTTTAATTATCAATTAACCTCAGCTGATTAACTTGCCTATGAAATGCAAGCAAATAATGACAATGCCTATCACACTTCCCTAAATCCTAAGGTAAAGTATAATTTAGCCATGTAAAAATTAACAAATCCTCACACTAGGGAATGCTGGTCATTATTCATTGAAAAATTACAATTAATCAGTTATTAAAACAGCTGCCAAATATATTTTTGGTTTACCCGTTTCAGCTATAGCCACAAAGCTAACAAAAGTCATTTGCATGCAGTCTCTGGTGCTCTAGGACATTGTGATGGACATGTTCCATTGCTTTGTTTTATGGACAAGAAAATATTTGGCAGATTAATCCATAATGAAAATAACTAGTAGCTGCAGACCTGATACCTGTAGGAGGAAAATATTGTAAAAAGACAGAGGCTTAGTTCAAGACCTGACCTTACAGCCATTCATACAAAACACACTGACATAACCTAATGGCAAAACAGTTTAAAAAAATAAAAATCACTTGCAAATTAACACTTTGATTATGAAATTTCTTTAAGTGCCAGAACATGAACCCAAAGGCCCAGGCTGCTGCAAAATGACGACTCGGGAAGTGCAAACATTTAAATTGTTTTGCGAATTCTGTGTGTAGGAATGTTTTTGTCAAGCAGGATTATCTTACATGTCGAGAGTGATAACGTGTGCTCTGTGCTTGATGAACATTTTCTCCCTTGTTTACATGCCCTGTCACAAGATCTCCATTAATGACTCAATAATGTAGAAAACTACGTGTTTTGGTGTGGGCAGCATGGTGGTGCAGTGATGCTGTCACCTCACAGCAAGAAGGTACTGGGTTCAAGCCCCAGCTGACCCAGGCCCTCCTATTATTGTTTGCACTACGGTTACTGACTGTACACTATTTTGAGCCACAGCCCTTTGGCTGTACCATTTAGAGTTATTGTAATTATGTCAATCCAGTTCTTATTCTATTCTATTTTTATTCTACTTTATTCTATTTTAGTTCCTAAATGTTATGGCACCCAGTACTAGGTGAGAGATCCATGCCATTTTTAATTGTTGTTTGCCTCACAGCAAGAAGGTTCTGGGTTCGAGGCTGGGCCGACCCGAGGCCTTTCTGTGTGGAGTCTGCATGTTCTCCCTGTGCCTGCATGGGTTCTCTCCGTGGGCCCCGGTTCCTCCCACAGTCCAGACATGCAGCTTAGGCTGATTGGCAACTCTTCGATAGGATTGATTGTGGGTGTGTGTGGTTGTCTGTCTCTAAATGTCAGTCCTGTGATAGAGTGGCGTACCTGCCTCTCGGCCAGTGTCATTGGCTCCAACCCCCCGCGACCCAATTCAATAGAATCCATTCAATAGAAAAAAAAATAATGTGTATAGTTTATATACCTTTTATGCACCCATCCACTATCTATAGTATAGATAGTGGATGGATGGTCATCATGTTATGGCTGATTAGGGTATGGCTTTATTATTGGGAAACTGCATGTACATATCTCCAACATATCAACAAAAACCTCAGTTTTCAGCTTTATGACTTATCCAGTTGTATACAGTTGGTTTTTAAATGGTTTATTTGGCTTAAAGAGCAATATACAAGTTTTGGAAATCAGACTGGTGCCAACATGAGACTCGAAAGCGAGCCACTGCTGTTCTCAGCGCTCCCTCTCCCTGATCCGTTACATGCTGGAAGGCCTTTCAGTCCTTGTGTTCTCTGTCTCAGCTAATGCAGGAACTGGGAGCATGCTAGCCTGTAAATCAGCCATAGTGATGCCTTCTTGTGGCTAATACTAGATTGAACCCTTAATGTGAGATAAGTTGCAGAGCAGCAGCGCGTCTTGATTGGCAGCCATGAACTTCCAGCCTTGACTTTGGCCTCACTTAAAAACTAGAAGGGAATTAAAAATAATGAAAGCTAGAACTACATGTTTTTCACTGGACCGAAACATCTGGTTAAATGTGCATTCACACACGTTTGCTGAATAAATATGCTATATTACAGGCTTCTGGCATTACATGTCCAGCTCATCTAACATCTGTCCCTGGATCATCTGCTGCACTGACCTTGTCTGGCTTTTCTCCTTTAGATCTACCCAGACCCAGAGTTGGAGCAGCAGATCCTGGCACTGCCCATCCGCTGCATCCACAGTGAGGAGGGCTGCCGCTGGACCGGCCAGATGAAGCAGCTGCAGGTATCATCTCTCACTTTCTCTCCATCTGTTTCCCCTCGTCTGTTTTTTCTGATGCCTGCTGCCTCCTCCCCCAACCCTCGCCTCTTGTTGTTTTCTGACAGCAGCCTGGCTCACTGCCGCACATGTGGTTGTGGGTGTGTGAGTGTGATGACATGTTTCCCCTCTGTTGTTGTGTCTCTCTCAGGGCCACTTCTCCACCTGCGCCTTCAATGTGATCCCCTGCCCCAATCGCTGCTCCGTCAAGCTGACACGACGCGACTTGCCTGACCACCTGCAGCACGACTGCCCCAAGCGCAAGGTCAAGTGCGAGTTTTGTGGCAGTGAGTTCACCGGTGAAGCCTATGAGGTAAACACCGATTCCTGTTAAAAACCTGTTTTTATTTCCTTTTTTCCACTGTTACAACTCAGTGGGAGCTTGACGTAAACATCTCATAGTGACTCCACAGAATGTCCATGGCTTTATGAAAGCTGTCTCTGTGAAAGGCAGTAAGGAGTGTTCCAACCTCAGAGAGTGTTGGTCTGTTTTGGAATAACATGTGTCAGCAGAAGGAAATAAGCTTTAACTAGGTCTTTCATAGTGAATGTGTTTGCTTCAGAGTCTCCTCAGTAACACCTTTTTCATTTCTACCAACCCGCCCCTCCTCTGTTTACCCTGGCCCACATGGTCTCCCCTCTGCACACAGTCACACCAGTGCTAGGCCATCTTTTGACTCTACAGTCATGTTTACAGCTGCATATCATTTAAAAGCAGATGGATGCTTCAGTAAGGCTCTAACTAACAGTTACTTAATTAATCTACAGAATATTTTTCCAATTAATCCAGTGTTTGTTTTGGTAATGGCATAAAAATACTAATGAAAATGTCAAATTCACCTAATGGCATAAAATACTAATGAAAATGTCAAATTCACAAGATCATATATCTGTCCAGTCAGGTACAAAGTTCAATAGTTGACAGTGTTTTCATTCTGTAGGAACTAGAACAGAGGTATAGTGTCCTGAGCTTTGTTCAGATGTATCATGGTGGACAGAGCTACCTCAGTCCTCTCAGCAGCTGATACTGATCTATTTTTTTTTACTACAGCACTTGGTTTTTACTGGCACACTGAGGTCCACATTGTCTAGCACTACTGACGTCATCTCAGTACAGTTTTCCTCAGTAAACATGTAATCATTAAATATTTTACAGGTTACGTTCTTATTTTGCCATTACTTTATATATGCAGTCAATAATACACATATAAATGGGTGGGTGTAGGACTGTAGGCAAATCTACAGGGTCATCATGTGGGCACCCTCTCACTATAGCTTGGTCAGAACTTCCAGCTCACCTTCACCCTTAGTGCTTTCAGAAATACTGTATATATTTTGTTCAACGAAATGCGGTTTTGAGCTGTGAAAACTGCAGCAGTGTAACCAGTAACACCTCGACTGTATCTACAGTATTGGTAGCATGACCCTGCTCCAACTTGTAATCGTGTTTCTTTTCTGTCCCAGAACCACCAGGGTGTGTGTCCTCAGGAGAGTGTTTACTGTGAGAATAAGTGTGGGGCGAGGATGATGCGTCGCCTCCTGTCCCAGCACAGCATGGCAGAATGTCCCAAACGCACCCAGCCCTGCAAGTACTGTGGCAAGGAGTTTGTCTTTGACACAATTCAGGTCTGTACAACCAGAATATCTCATTTTCAGCCTAGTGACTGTTTAAATTCTTCCTTATTAGTGAAGTAACTTAGCTTGATTGAGCCAGTGGTGTGCCACCGTGTGACTCCTGTCTGTGTTTTAGGCCAAGGTGTGATAACCCAGTCTCAGACACCATGTTTTGTGTTTTTTCTTGATCCAGTAATTTAATTTCAGTGTCACTTTAACATGACACACTGTTAGAGAACTACCTTTTGAGGGAAGGTGTTGCCTCCTGATAATAATGTTTAGGTTTTCCTGCAATAATACATTTGCATTGCATGATGGCACAAACACTCTGCAGCTGTGATAGTCAAATAACTATTTAAGTTGTTTTCCAAGCAAAAAATGCAGCCCCTCATATATGATGATAAGCTTTAGTTGGAGCCTTACTTTCATTATCAATTAATTTCCTGATTATTTTTCGATTAATTGTTCAGTGGCATTTTTCCCTGCTTCTATTCATTTGCTGTCCCACTGTGCATTGTCTATTCTCATGATTCATGTTGTTTGTTAAACAGTACACTGATCAACACTGTTCCTGGTTCCTTTACAGAACCACCAGTACCACTGCCCTCGGTTTCCTGTCCAGTGCCCAAACCAGTGCGGTACACCCAACATCGCCCGAGAGGACCTGGCTAACCATGTGAAGGACAACTGTGGCAGTGCGCTCGTCCTCTGCCCTTTCAAAGACGCCGGCTGCAAACACAGGGTACGATTGACCTGCATCATTCAACCTTATTATGTAGTATTATTATATATATTGTCCTGTTAACACAACAGTTGATATATGCTAATCAACTGCCAAGCTTGTTTGTTTTTGTTGTTAACGTGTGTTTTTCTCCATATAACCTTGCTCACTGTGTCCAGAGTACCAATTTACCTTTCTTTTCAGGCATACACTGCTGTGCCTGTAATTTCTATTTAACGAGAGCCTCACTTTATTGTCTGTTTTTGAAACTGACATCAATTTGTGAAAATGCAGACACGCTCAAGGAAAAGCAGCAAATAAGCAGCATGACACTCTGTGTTGTCAGCTTGACGCTCTGTTAAGGATCATACATTGTACAGGTTAAAAAACTAGTAACACAGTGATGAACACAGAAATATAGGCGCTGATCATTTATATATATATATATATATATAGATATATATATGTATATAAAACAAAGTATCTGGAAAGCTTGATGTGTCACATTTACAGATGGTCTGATGGAAAACAAACACGTCTCCTGCAGAGTGACCATTAAACAGAACAGTCGAAGTTACCTGTCTTTATCATGTTCAGTGTCCGACTTAAACCCAAGTTCATCTCTGGATGCAGCTGTTGACTGTATGTTGGAGATGTGAATGGATGCACTCTGAACTGAACAGCAACAGTACCGACATGTTCGCAGTAATATTTGTTTTTCCTGGCACCCCGCATCACACCGCATCTCCTCAAAGTTACGCAGTGCACAACCTATTTCACTCATGCTCTACGGCCTGTTGCTCTACTATTTTTTTTTACATTCTGTTATTATATACATAACTGCAATATGTGCAGGTCCTAATTGTATTTTTCCACTGTTAAAACCTTGTGTTTTATTTTCACTATTGATTTCTGTGTGGACTTAACTCTTACATAGTTTTAGGAGGTGGATTCCAACACAAATCATTCATTATTATCTGATTCATTTAGGTACATATTTAAAAAATTCTGTTTCTTTGTGAGCAGCTACATACATGTATGAGGAGTTTAAATGGCAATAGAAAACATAGCTTTATGTTTATGTTTTATCTGTGCATGTGTAAAATCTGAATGTTAACACGTCCTTCCTCGTACTTACTATGCAGCGGTTTCTAAATAATAACCCCCTACTCTCTCTCTGCAGTGCCCCAAATTTGCCATCGGTCGCCACCTGGAAGACACCACTAAGTCTCACCTGACTATGATGTGCAACCTAGTGGGTCGCCAGCGGCAGGAGATCTTGGAGCTGCGGAGGGAGATGGAGGAGCTGTCTGTCAGTCACGATGGCATCCTCATCTGGAAACTCAATGACTACTCCCGCAAGCTCCAGGAGGCCAAACTTCGAAGCAACCACGAGTTTTTCAGCCCGCCCTTTTACACCCACCGCTATGGCTACAAGCTGCAGGTGTCAGCCTTTCTGAACGGTAACGGCAGTGGTGAGGGCTCCCACCTCTCTGTCTACATCCGTGTGCTGCCGGGAGAGTATGACAGCCTGCTGGAGTGGCCCTTCTCCTACAAGGTGACATTTTCCATCCTGGACCAGAGTGACCCGTCACTTTCCAAGCCCCAGCACATCACAGAGACCTTCAACCCCGATCCCAACTGGAAGAACTTCCAAAAGCCTTGCAGCAGCCGTAACTCGCTGGACGAGAGCACCCTGGGCTTCGGCTATCCCAAGTTCATCTCGCACGAGGAGATCAAGAAGAGGAACTACATCCGAGACAACTGCATCTTCATCAAGGCTTCTATAGAGATTCCCCAGAAAATAATGGGTTAAGATCCATCTTTTGTTTTTGTTTTTATGAAGGAGAAAGATAGGTTAAAGACTGGAACTGATGCTTAACCTTGAAAACTTCTACACACTTACCCTTTAGATACATTCTACCCTTCCAGCTACTCCACCACAGAGCTTGAAACGAGTCTGTGATATATCACAGAGGAGAAAGTGTTTGGTCTGCAGAACCATCACTCTCTGGTGTTTCTTTTTATTACTTTTTAAAATCTGTTTGCTGACCTTTTATCATGGAGTACAACAAAAAGCCTTGGAAATCAAACAGTGCCTAGAGAGTTTATCTTAAGTTTTATTTTTGTTGTTATTTCTGCAGTACCGATGTTGAGGATTATGGAAGAGATATAAAATAAGGGTGAAGTTCTTCACTAAGCCTCTGCACTTACAGTAAAGTCAAAGTTACACTTTGGGGACAGGCATCCCTTTTTTATCTGGGATGATTTAACATGGGATGAGTTCAACAGACTCAAATTCATGCCCAACTGCCTTTTGTGTACATGTATACTCCCTCTGATCCCTTAGCAAACACAGTTCTTGGTAAGTGACTGCTTCTGAGGTTTGTGTCCATTCAAACAAACTGATCAATGTCTTCAGGTGAGAAACTTGCATCTCCAAATGTAGTAACTTTGTTGGTTTAAAGGAATGATTCAACATTTTGGGAAATGTGCTTTTCTGCTTCATTGCTAAAAGCTAAATGACTGGATCACCTTTTCATTTCTGTTAAATAACCTATGAAGATACACCCAGCACTATTTAGAAATAGCCCTTTGTTCAACAGCAAATTGTTGTTTTACAGGTTGTTTATTGTTTGCATTAAACACCAAGATATAATATCTTAATTACCTTTATACCTATGTGATAAACATGAAGCTAGCACCAGCGCCAGCTACTAGTGAAAATATTTAACTTAACATCCATCCATTATCTTCCACTTATCCGAGGCCGGGTCATGGGGGCAGCAGGTCCAGCTGGGTGGCCCACATGTCCTTCTCCCTAGCAACACTTTCCAAATCCTCCTGGGGGACCTTAAGGCATTCCCAGGGTAGATGGGATATAAAATCCCTCTAGCGTATTCTGGGTCTACTCTGGGGCATCCTACCAGTTGGATGTGCCTGGAAAACCTCCAATGTGAGGCACCCAGGAAGCTTCCTAATCAGATGCCCAAACCATGGCAGCATACTTGGAGGTGCTGATTTCCATTCCAGCCACTTCACATTTGCGTGCAAACTGCACCAATGCATGCTGGAAATCTTGTTCTGATGAAGCCAACAGACCAGGACATCATCTGCAAAAAAGCAGAGACATGATTCTGAGGCCCCCAAATTGAACACACTCCTCCCCTCTGACATTAACTTAACCTGAAGACTGGAAACAGCTAGTCTGGCTCTACCAGAAGGTTTTCTTTCAGATTAACAAGATACAGTGTAAAATATACTTTAGAGAGGATAGTAGGCAATTTGTTACTTTCAGACTGTTTCAATTGAGCTGTAGCTTCATTTAAAGTATAGTTTAATATTTTTGGAAACATGCTTATTTGCTTTCTTACAAAGAGTAAAATGAACACTATTCTCATCTGTTTGCTAAAAATAAATCTACATCCAGCAGCCAGTTTATACACTAGAAACCGTGGGAAAGCAGCTAGTCGGATTCTGTTTTATACATATTAAGCAAAACCTAATGTGTTAATTAGTAAGGATAAAAGTTGTTGGTAGATTAATTTAGTTAGATTTGGCCAGAGCCAGGCTAGCTGTTTCCTGTTTAAGTCTTTATGCTAAGCTAAGCTAACCAGCTGCTGGTTGTAACCTCATGCCAAACAAAAGGATTTTGGACATCTAAGTCTCGTATTTATTATAATAACCAAAATGTTGAACTATTCCTTCAAATGAAATATGCCACCCCACCTGCAATTCCTTACAACAGAAATGCAGCTGTCATGCTAACGGGAAGCAGTCTTTTTTTCAAAAGTTGACAAGACAAGATTGAAATTACAGATGCATCATTTAAGTAACCTGCCCCCATCGAAGGCACTGTCTTTGACTTGTGTTTGTATGTAGACTGACATAGTCATATATCACTTCAGGAGAGTGCCAGTTTACCAAACACCCTGTGAGGCTTTGCAACTATTATGTAATCAACCAATAGCAGTAAAACGCACCTTTCCTCGGATGCCCAGAGCAGACAAAGAGGCTACCTGTTGGAGTACACATGCATTTAATAGTGAAGGAAAAGCCATGAAAATGTTCTTATACAGTATGTCTTTCTATGACGTTTTAGGAGCGAGCAGGACAACATAAACACATGCATGCTTCATGTGCTACCACCTGGACCACATTTTTGTACTGTAACCTGTATTCTTGAAATCCTCTCCTGTTCATTGTTGATTTGTCTCTTTTTTGTACCATTTGAAAGTTGACAGATTGTCTAAAGGAATATGGTTTTTAAGTTTTATATACAGAAAATGTGAACGCTGTTGAAAATATGACCTATAAAGACAATGAACACTTGGCTGTGAAGTGTAACTGTTTGACATAGCCTGAGCCTGGATGGTGCACGGAGGCTGGCTACGATGGTTAATGGCATGGTCTCTGCAGATATGTGGGTACCTCAGGACTGACTGCACCCTTATTGTTACCATGGTCACCATCTTCAGCGCAGCACACGATGTGACTGAGGAGCATTTGGAGGGAAGCAGTGCGATCCGCCTGTCTTCATCACAGCACCATCAGAGGGATGGAGGACTATGATGATACAGTTACACTCATGACGTATGTGAATACTAGTGTAAAAATGCAGGAGCACATTCTGTCTTTTTATTATTATACATGGAAAAAAAATCTTGATTTCTTGTCATAATACCAGCTGATATTTTACAGTGATTTAAAAAAGTGAGAAGAAAAAGCTTTTGTAAGATTCTGTATTTTTAAATATACTTAACTGTTTTATACAAACACTTTTCGTTGGAGTCGACTTGGGGAATTTTCTGACCCTTTTGTCTCTTGGACATATGGATAAATTGTTTGTCCGTGTGATTTGAGCCTCACATATTCTGTCTGTATTATTTCCTCCTAAATGTATTTATTTTAAAAAGCCACTGTGTGACTTTGCACTGATGGCACAAATGTTTTAATATGTAGATCGATGAGTGCTTGTCATTTTCTTAATTGAAATAAAACACCATATATTATAGTTGATTTTACTTTGGTGTTTTGTACAGCAGGGACAAATAATCAAGCAAAAAAAAAAAAAAAAAAAAAAAAAAAAAAAAAAAAAAAAAACCACTGTTGATCACCAGTACTCACGTTTTAAATCCTCAGAACCTTATCAGATACATCAGATACATTTCATGTGGTTGAACAACACTGGGACCATACAGTATTTGCAAATCTGCTACCACGTTTGTCAAACGTCTAATAATTACACAAGTCTCTAAAATGTCAACATACAGTAAAAGTAAAAAAAGTTCATGGCTGAGTATGAGAAATAAGACACATTTACTCCTACTTGCACATGATTGATTACATGTATGCTATACTATGCTAGTCATGAAAAGCTTATCCTGAGCAGATACAGTACAGTAAGGCTGGGCCAAGCCTTATCTACAGCATAGGAGTTAAAAGCAGTTCAAGAGACTTGTATGGATCCATGTTAGGTTGGTTTGAAGGTACTGTAGGTTAGAGGTAGAGAAGGATGTTGCCTGTCATGGGGCACAGCTGATACCCACTGTGGGGTGCAGTGACGGGTCAAAACAATTTACATGAACACTGGGCCTCCATAAGAAACGTCATCCACCCAGCTGTCAGAGATCCTTGGAGCACTCCTTTATTTAAAAACATTTTAAATCAAAAGAAAGTACAAGTGAAGAAGTTTTGTCTTTATCTTTCACTAAAGTCAAACATTTTATTTTTTAGCAGTTTGATAAAAAGGACCCTGATGTGGGAAAAAACCCATGTTACACAGCACATTCCAGTTGATCCTAGACACCAGTCATGACTCTGTAGTGTGCAATAACCTGGTTGGCACTGACACTAAGAATATATTTGACAACTTTATTACAGCATAACTTTTGTTTTTATGTATTGTCATTATGACCCATATCTCCTGGCACAGGATATATGCTCCACATGTGAACACATTGTTTAGAATGCAATAACTCATTTAACAATATATGACAGAAACCTGGCCAGCTGATGTCACTGACTATGATGACACCTCACAGTAGGAATGTGTGTATTAAAGAGTTCCTGAAGCAATTTACCCTTTACTGTTGCACCATAAAATTGGGGCTTGAAGCTGAAGATAGAAAGATAGAAAGTGGGAGCTGGAATGTTGGAATGTTATATGTTCTGTCATTTCATTCCTCTAATCCACTGCTGTATGTCACCTAATCTATTTGTAGGGACATCCACTGAACCATAATGAAGAACAGGTGAACTTGCATATTACTTAGCTCTTCAGTCTTTTTGAAACGCATATTATTCACATTTTATCTAAACTAAGCTATTGTCTAATTATAGCAGAATTACAGTACAATTATTTCCAATGCTAGGCTGAAAAGAATGGTAAAAATCAAGGCACCAGAGGTCGAGATACGGTATGTGGTCCCTAATATCGGTAAACCTCAAAAATTCTACTCTTAGTGGATCCCACACTTCCCATTATGCCAGTTGCTGTAATAGTGCTTGATAAATGCTCACATCATTCAAATTCCACACCCCCGTTATTTTAATGCTAAATTTCTTTTAAAAGTTTGTAGTTTCCAGCTCAAACCAAAGATTCCACAAGTTTTTTTCTCAGATTTGACAAAGATCCTCCGAATGCACAAAAGCCATTATAATCATCACAGGATGAGTAGAAATCCTCATGGCTGGTAAAAAAATTTTGAGAAAAGGAAAAGAAAGAAATGTGATCTGAAAGAGATCCAAGAGAGCCAGACACCTGATCCAAAATCCGATGGACCCCAGTTAACCCCAATCAGGAAACCAACACTGAAACTAGCAGCAGCCACGTCACTAGTTAACTATGTGTGTTGTTTTTCCTGCATGTCAAAACAGCTCTAAGGTCTGTTTGGATTCATTCAGGTGTTACTGGGAAAAAAGTGACACCCAGTTTGATTGAATATAATTTGGCCCTGCTTATGTTCCAGGAGAGCCTCGGGTACTAAGTAATTCAATGCAGACACTGTGGAAACTTGTTAAGGACACATTTGTAAATAATAAAAAAAAATCATATTACAGTAATTTATCAGACACAACTGGCTCATAATATGATTGTAATTTTAGATTAAGGAGCTTTAGTTATTGCTTGTCTGAATTAGCTGCTTACCACAAAAAAGTACTCAAGGCGTTTCAAACGCGAGCACTTAAAAATACACCAATGAATTATTGATTAAATATATTAGCAATATTAAAAGTAGTGAAAGGCTATAAAGCTTGTCTCAACATTCAAATTAGGCCCATGGCACAGAAGGGAAGAGTATCCCTCTGAGTTAAGAGACTAATAGAGATGATTAATATGCAATACCGACTAGTTTATTTTACAGGTCTGGTTTATGTAAACTAGATAGAACTAGTAAGCACAACAGCTGAGTCGGTGAAATTTTATAGCATGATGTGTGTTTTATTTGTTGATCTTCAAATCAAACACAAAATGAAGAAATTTCCAATCAGAATTAGGTCTTATAGGAGATCATACTTAGTATTAGGGCAAACCATTACAGTACTCTCCTTCTAAAGCCTTCTATTCTGGATACACGATTTGACAATGAATCCACAGTAGCTAACTTCCTTTATTTCCACTTCATCACCCACTCACTGATCTAGGTCTGAGGTGAAAGCAGTTTCAGCTCTGTCTTCCTTAGAGTCTCCACTGTTATACCCTACTCGAGATGCAGAGCAGCGAAGCAGCAGAGGAAGTGAGGCAGACACCAGCCCTGCTTTAAAGCCAGGCCAGGAGTTTGCATTGGCTCACACACTGGATGATGTTCTGTGCAGTGGGATCTGGGGAAGAGGAAAATGAGCTTTTAATGTCAAAGTCACTGAGAGATCCCTCAGGACAGATTCTTGATTTCCACTTACTGTACAATAACTGGCCAAAGTCTTCTTAAATCTTATCATCTCAACCCTCTCTTTACTTTTTCCATCTTTAAAATGAGAAGAACATCTGTGTTAAGGACACAGCATGATTGTTCTTTGCTTCTGTTTAACATGTTGCTTTTTCAGGATATTGCCAATACACTTAACTTATTTTTCACTCAGGATAGTTGTTTTTAAGTTTCTTCACCGTGAGAGAGATCATTCATTTCAGGGAGGGATCCTCTGTTCCTGCCAGTCCAGTCCACCTCCCCCCCCACCAGTACAGAAAGTTAATAGCTGAAGAGTGTAAGACTTAAAAGCCATACAGTACTGACAGCCTCAAACTTTCCTGGCACATGGTGTACAACCATCAGTTCTGTGCTGCTTCAGGGCAAAGCAGAATGAAAATAGTAACAACTAATTATATGTTCGAAAGCTCCATGACTCCCATGCAGAGTAGAGCGGAGCAGAGTGAAGTCAGATGCAGTTCAGTGCACAGTGCAGCCCTTTGGCTTTGCTTTCTTTCAAATGACCCTCTGCTCACCTGGTAACTGATTTACAGATACAGTCACATTCTCATACACACTGTCCACACATTAATGGCGTTCCTTCTTGATGTGCTCATGCACCCTTTGGTCAACATATGCTGAAAGTCAGATCCCAGCTGGGGTAAAGTAGGAAGAGGAGGAGGAGAAGGGGGTGGTGGTGAAGGCAGGGAAGAGCCCAACCCATGAGGCTTTCCTCACCCATAAAAAAATAATACATCAAAGAGGAACAGTGGTTTATGAAGTGGTGCCACGCTGTCATCCCTCATACCAAAGTCAAACAATTCTCCCTCCCAGTGCAGGAACAAAACCCACATGGTATAAGAGTGAGCTGGTGTTCTACAGCAGTGAAATCACTCTTAGGACTGCTAAAAATCTGTGCTGCACAGCAGGAGCTTCTTCACAAGTTGGACAAATAATGGACAACAAGCTCGCTGCTTAAGCATGAAGGTTCATTCTTGACCTTGCAAACAATAGCTTGGCCAGTGAGGGAGACATGACTGTGATTTAACACTATCTCGGTGTTAAACCTCCAAAATTTTTACATCCGGTGTAATTTTGCAAAATATACCATATTTTTAAATACACGATTAGCTAATTTCATTGCAGTATTACCAGTGTTACCTCTGTTTACCCATTTTTGTTACTATCTATCCCGTAGTCATTACTACTAATAGTAGACACTTTCAGTGCAAGGTCCTCACAAAGGTACTTCCCTTACTGTACCTTCCTTCCTTATTGTTAGTCCTCTTGTTTTGCATTGTCATGATATCCAGTAGTGTACAGCAGGTACACAGTGTTCCTGTGTATTTCTGGTGTGTCTTGAAGTATCCAATCGTCTATTACTCACAGACAGTCACATGTTGCCCATCCTTTCAAACAAAAAGGCATCAGATGTGTCACGGATATAATTTGACTTACCTCTATCAACCTCTGCAAAGATGCAAAATTACTGTACATCGTTTGTGACTACTGTGACATGAGTTGAGTACATACCTGATACGTACCCATGCTGAAAATCATTTATAAATAGCTGAAACTCTCAACAGACCATAACCACATGTGAGTGATTTGATTATCTAAGGAGAAGCTGCTTTGATGATCTCACTATGCAACATCTACTACTGCAATAAATGCTAGTTTTGTGTGGGACATAATAATTTATGCACATCCTCTGATCTATCAAGTGACTGATTAATAGTTTTCATCTCTTTTTAAAACCAGTCGTGTGTAGCAGAACTAGTGACCTAGCGTCTAAGGTCAGTCACACCCACTGTGGTTACTTGCCAGCAGTACAATGCTGCCAAGACTGGATCAATTATTGACCTGGATTACTAGAATAACACACACTAGGCTTCAGGGGGAGGAACATGGAGGCGTTCACAGACCATACACCTACCCACACACCTCAATAAAATCTCTGATTCATTGTGATATATGTGCCACAAATACTGTGTTTGTAATACTGTATAACACAGCCTGTGCTTTCCAGTGTAATTTCATTTTATGAATTAGGTAGCAATTAAAAAACTTTTAATGGTCAACTATATATATG